TTTGATAAATACTATTGTGTAGCTACGTCGCGTCGGCAAGAGACTCTTCGTTCGGCGATAGGATTCCTCAATTTTCAGGATGTTATCTGCAAGCACCACGCGAACACCAATGTGACATTTCGTTTTTCGAAAGTGCGCCATGCCATTTTTAAAATGCCTGGCGAAAGAACTGAATCTCGGTGCTGTGCTCCTAAGTGGACAGTCATTCAGGTATGCTCTGATGCATGATGTTTCAAATTCACTTGAGTTTGTGGGTTACAATATTTGTTTCTCAAAATGCAGTTCTCGCTAGAACAGAAACCAGCGAGTGGTCGCTGTTGGCATGCAGCCCGCCAAATGCGACCAGCGAGTGGTTGTTGTTGGCATGCAGCCCGCCAAATGCGACCAGCGAGTGGTTGTTGTTGGCATGCAGCTCGCTAAATGCTACTAGCGAGTGGTTGTTGTTGACATGCGGCTCGCTAAAACGCGACTGGCGCGCGGTTCCTGTTGGCATGCAGCTCGCTAAATGCTACCAGCGAGTGGTTGCTTTGGCATGCAGCTCGCTAAAACGCGACCAGCGAGTGGTTGTTGTTGACATGCAGCTCGCTAAATGCGACCAGCGAGTGGTTGTTGTTGGCATGCGTTACCTCACTGGCTACTATCGAATGCTTATGATGGGGGTACAAAAGCAGTTTTACGCGTGGTTTTATGGCATGTGTTGGGAAGGCTTAGTGTACACATTTAGACGATCGCACCTTTTCGCGGCAATTTGCTGTGTGCTGAAAAAGGTAGGCCTAAAATTTGGAATGAATTTACTAGAGTCGCGGTTGTATTTCTGAATATATTGTCAACTAAATTATTAGCGATGCAGGCGAGAAACTAAATTTTGTGCAGATTTCTTCCGGATCCTGAATCCGAACACCGTTCATCCATTCTCCTGAAAGTGAAGCTCAGCTGATCCGGCAGGATACCTTCCTTGTTCTGATTTCTCGTTTTGAAATTCTCGTTTGTTCAATAACCCAAATTTGGATGATGCTGGTTTCGTAGCTGATGAAGCTGACATATCAGATCGGGACTGGAGCACCACTGCCGATAGCCTATTGATGATATATCACGATTCGAAGGACTTGAAGAAATTATATGACACCGATTTCAGCTTCCTTTCCTTCAAGCCTTTAGCAAAAAAAAAAAAAACTGTGTACTATATGACTATTATAGATTGACTAACACTTTTGAACTGGTGGGCTGCTTACTTCACTTCTCCTTCCACCTATTCTCCTTGATCCTTCCTTGGCTGTAATGAGTAACATGTAACGATTCAAAGGATCCATAAATGTTGAAAATGTTCTCTCCGATTCGTGTTTTTCAAACTAAAGCCATTTTTCAAGGCTTTAAAATCATTGTTATAAGGCTTTTCTTTTTGTTTAGTTGCTGTAAGCTGTAGGCATCTTAATGGTGTACTGTAATCTGTTTAATTTTTACAGATGGAAGAAATCTGTTGCAGAAAACAATGAAAACATCCCATCCTCCGCAGACGTGTATATTGGAGTTGCCAAACACCGAGTATGGAAGCTTTGGCGACAGGACAACGAACATCTTGGCTATGAAGTACTGGCACGCTTTTCAAAAGCAAACGGAATCGACGTAGACGCTCTCAGGGAATATTTCCAGGTCTTTTTTCTGTAAATAACAGGATTGTTGTTTCTTCTGAAGCTTCGATGTTGCTGGGTTCATTTTCATGCTTCTTATAATATCTGGTGATGTAAGTTGATTTGAAAGGAATTAGATTTGATGGAGATGGATTGTTTAAAATAAAGTTAGAAATAATCAATGCAGTTTATGTATATGAAGAGAAATGGGAAAAGAAATTAAAATAATATAACTAAGCAGAAATGTTTCAGTCCATTAAGTCATATTTATATTTACTTCCATAGCTGAACTTCATCAGTATGATGGTTGTAGCACTTAGAAATAAAATTTAAGAAGTTAAAAAATGAAAAATAAACGGTAGAAAATATTGTTCATTTATCCGCATGTTTATTCATCAAACAGGACACAATACATTTTGTCTGGATAGGTCGTACAGAGGAACAAAAAAAAAAAAAAAAATTTGCGCAGCCTGAAAAATTTGAAACTTGAAAGTGCTGCCAGTTTAGAAAGCATGCAGTGTTAGCACAGTAATTT